TAAATGCCTTCGTTACTTTACATTCCTGGTCAATCAATCAAAACTTTACTATATTTTCAGTGGGCTGGCCATGTCCCAGCTTGGTAGATTATCATTTGTGCAGGCATCGTAACCACATATGTTATGTGTCAGGTTGTGTATATGATTCCTGATTGACTAGGATCTCACGTCTCTCATTAACAAAAATTATACTAGCAATTATGTTTTAAATGGCTTTTTGAAATATTGTAAAATGGAGCAAGACTGCTCCTTTCAAACCTTAACAATATCCATATTAAAAATGGAGCTTGTGAAAATTGAATGCGATACAACTGTGGCTTAGTTATGTCAAATATTTTATATATATTTTTTCTCATTGTTCAAAAGAATACAAAACATTAGAATCAAGTATATATAATCAAATGCAGAGCACTGTCATTTCATTCTATATGATGATGTCATTTGCTCTTCTATTATTTTCTCATAGGATTGCATTTTTCTGTAATTTATGAGGGTTGAAGTAAACACCCACTTTGTATAATGGAGAAAGACAAGGATATGTAGAATATATATTATTAGGACATCAAAGGAGTATAATAATTACTGAAAGAGATGTGCATTTTAGACATTCTTCTTTTAGCAGCAAACACTGATGATTCTTTTCAATTTCAGATATTCTAAGTTAGAAAAGATTGGCTAAGGTCTGCTATTTATTTTGTGCAGTACCTAAGTGTATGTGATAAAGGTTCCTCTCAGGCACACATTTTATACATTAATGGTTCAACTATGCATTTTTATGTGGGTGCGAAATCCAAAATGCACAACTTTGTTATGGATAAATACCATCCTGTTCTGTATTCCTACAATTTGCTTTATACCAGTCTAACTGAAAACAGAAACCTCCCACATGTTTCCAGCTTTAGGGATCTGTCACTTTAATCATGAGAAAACCCAGGCCTGTTGATAGCAATGATGTCACACTTTCAGCCTCTGTTCATTTAAAGCACACGGTTGAAGCAGACAAATTGGTTTTGGTATATTGCTCTGGATGCCTTAACAAGACATTCAACAGGACCTTCGCCCAGGATATTGGCTAGACTAGCTTACAATATTAGAAAATAAACATTCATTTGAAAATACAAGAAATGGTCCAGTTGAGTTCCCTTTCAAGGGCTGATTTTTTAAAGAGGAAGCCCAATGGATATGTTATAATTCAGATGTTGAGTGAAGGGAAATAAAGGTTGACGTTGGTAGCACTTTTGGTAGATCTGTTTGTACACAGAGCCTTCTGAGTTGTGGGACCTTCCATTGGCCTTATAGGAATCTCTGGGCAGCTGTGTGGACAAGACTTGGAACAGGGGTGTTCAACCTTGGCACCTTTAAGAGTTGTGGACTTCAACTCCCAGAATTCCCCATAATGGCTGAGGAATTCTGGGAGTTGAAGTCCACAACTCTTAAAGTTGCCATGGTTGGACACCCCCAACTTAGAGGAAATAAGCAAGTGAATGATTCTAAGGGAGAGTAGAAATATATTTGGTCCATCCAGCAATAAGAGAGGAAACAGGTTTGTTTTGAAATCTATACTTCCAGGACCGTGGGAACCTCTCAGATAGAGCAGCACTGCTAATGACATATTAACGTCACTTCAACTTGTTATCCTCGTGATATATTAAAGTTATAGTTTCCAGGATTTCCAGCAAAAACGGGCAGTGGGAATGCTGGAATCAGTAATCCCAAATCCTTGGCAGAGAATCAAATTGTAGCTGCATTAATACAACCCACCTCCAACCACTTACTTCCAAAAACTTGCCAAGAAAACTGCAGGAATATGTCCAGGTGGTGGCCAGGAATCAACAGTGACTCAAAAGCATTTAAATAGGAGATTCTAGCTAAGACCTTATTCATAGGGTGGACTTTAAGGAGGAGTTTGAGAGACAGAAAGCTGAAGCAGCTGAAGTTTAACAGAGCAGCTATGAGAAATTAGGAAAGGACACACCTAGACAAGGGAGTGAGTCTTTGTATGTATGTATAGGTCAAGGAAAGCTCTGAGTGTAAAAGTTATGTAAGGTATTTTTAGATTTAAATAAAGACACGGACAAGGAGGCTGTTTAGTGATAATGGCATCTCGTATGATAATGATGAGATTCTGGATAATTCTCATTCGGAAACCTCATTCAATTGCCTCATTCTGAACAATGAAGCAACTGAATGATTTGGGTTATAGAATAGAAATAAAATAAACTTTGATGATTAAATAGTCTACAAGTAATTGCAGTAGTGAAGATACCGGATAGATCTTGATTATCTATCAAGAAAATAAAACTTTTTTTAAAAAAAATCTGGTTTTACTGAGATACACATCTACCCTATGGATACTCCGTTGACCAAAGAAAAGAAGTCCGATCCTCCGAAAGGGCGGCCTTTATTTCTATTAATTATTAATCCCAGTGGAACCATGAACACCAGAGTAGGAATCACATGACACCCTCTATAGTGGGATACATTTAATGCCCCTGGAGATTAAACGTAGGGTGTCTTTGTCCAGAGAGATGAAGAGAGGCTATTCAAGAATGCGGCTGTCTTAATGGAAAGCGATGTTCATTATCTGAGCAGAAAAAAGTAAGTTAAGGGGCTCGTCGCTCCATTGCTTTTCTACACTGTCCTTATTTCAGGAATAAGGTTGAGATTATACATATGTGTACACACACACACAGACAATATGTTTTGGAACACCAAAAGGGGAGAGTCTTAAGATAGGATTCAGGGTAGGAGCTGAGAGAGCAGAGACAATATTAAGCCCACATCCTTTTCCAGGAATAATATTGGAATACCAATATTGTACAGACGTTTGTTTGTAACTATGGAGTCCCTGAAATGTTAATAGAGTGGTAGACTAAGAGGTACAGTTTGGGTTAGGTTTGGGAGACGGAGTAGAGTGGGGAGCCAGGGGTGGGATGCAGCTGAGGAGCATCACTCTTATCTCGTACTTCACACTCTTATCAATTGTACATTATTCGATTCTCTTCTCACACTTGTAACCTCATATTAGCCAAAAATCAACTAGATTTCAGTGAATTAAAATGAAATTATAAATTGACAACAACCTAAAAGTCCGTACCAGATTAGTCCCACCAAAGGAGGGCAATCAAACCCGGGATCCAGTTTCACCATTCAGAATTCCAGCTCATGTCAAACCTTCATGCAGGTAAAGATTTTTTGGCTAGTTTCATTAGTGGGGAGCAGCCCCTCCCATCCCCGTCTCTCTGTCTCTCTCCCTCACAGTCTCCCTCTTTATGTCCTTCAGAGGGACTTTAAAGTTTTTGGAATTCTGGATTCAAAACACTGGTTTTGGATATGAGACTTTGGCGCCGCTGTGATTGATCCAGTACTATGTTAATCAACTTATTTTAATGAATATTATCCTAAAGTTGGAGGGGTAGAGTCTTCCCTTTTGATCTAATCCTGGACTTATTTTTACAATAATGTATGTTTTAACCATATGGCAAGATACAACGGAGAGTAATAATAAAAACTTTATAAAGTAAATACAGCTGAAGCAAATACAGTTCTGTTGACTTCAGACTGATATACATACCAGCACACCTTCACGTATATTATGTTTGTGACGTATTACACGATAAGTTGTTAATTCTGGTCATTTTATTCTGCAATTGATCTGTTGGCTTCCTTAATTTCAATCTTTTAAGCCGTATAAAAAGACTCAGTTATTTTAGGAGTGCACACTTTTTTAAAAGAGCCATATGATTCAACCAAGGGCTTACTTGACCCACAGAGATTGAGGTAAAGTATATTTTGTATCATTATTGGTCACTATGAGGTGCTAGAAATCCATCTAAAGAAATAGGAGGTAAATAGTGAAGAAATAAAATATGATAATAGCTTTTTTTCAATATTGCAGGAATTGAGGAACGAAAATAGAGATACAAGTTGTGTTACTTTTATGTATTTTGATATGGCAAAGCAGGCAGGGGGTTTCCAGAAGGGCTGAATAAAAATGGCTTATTTTGGTTTTAGATTCTTATATTAAGATTTTATCTATTCCTAGTAATTGATTCCAAGTAGTAATGACCTGAACTAATATAAGAATCAGTTTTAAAAGAAAGGTATGTTATAGACTGTTATAAATTGTGCCCGATGGCATAATTTTTTAGATGCAGAACTGCATAGAGTATACTTTTGACTCACCCAACATTAAATATAAACAAAAGAATTACTGATCTATGCTTCCCTTGTACACTTTTCCTTTACGTTCATTTTATATAAACTTTCCCAAGTCTGGCATAAAACTATTAATATTAGCAAGACACTAAAGGTGCATTTCAGGATTTTCTTACCAGTATCACATCATAAATCAGATTTATAACATGACTCATACAATTAGTACTTACGAATAAAAAAAAAAGGAATGGAAATTGGACTTAAAAGATTCATTTATCAGTTCTCTTGTAGATTTTAAAATAACGTTCAGCTATGGAAAAAAAATGTTGATTGTCAAAAAAGCATTGCATTTTTATTATATTCATGGACCATTTCAGTTTAATAAACGATCAGGATAATTTTTTTTTGCAATATGTAGTTTATCATGACCTCTTCCCCTCTTTAAATTTGACTTGTGGTCAAGTGTTGATACGTCTGTTTAGAAAGTCTAGACCAATATCTATAGGGAGCTTGTATTTCAACCCTGAAATTCCATCCGAGCTGTACAATTCGAGACTTAATACATACCAGCCTTAATTCACTTGTTATATTGGGCTTTCTCTGCTAATAGTTACCATCTGCAAGTAATACATTAGCAGGTCTGTAACATAGTGGAAACATATTATTTAAAACGATGCCTTTTAAATAAATCAGGACCAAATGCCCTTGTCATACGATTCATAGGAAAATGCTTAATTGCTAGCGTGGCCCAATATCTTCTATCCTCATCGTTTACTTCGCCCAGAGCGACTATTACGACGGCCTGAGTTTTCAGTCCACATTGCAGGAAAGGGGGTACTTACTGTAGTTGCTGTTAAGATCTCGTCCTCCTTTGATTTTGCCCCTTTTGTCGATCTTGACGTACCACTGAGTTCGGCAGAACAGCCTTCTGACTCTCAAGTCCCCCCCTTCCATATAATCGTAGCTTCTAGTATGTCGCTCCGGGGAGGAACAGTTCACATTCGTAGCCATTTGCTCTGGGTTCATGTCATTGCAAGCTAAGGATAGAGCGCCCACCAGGAAGATAATGTAAAAATAGGATCTGTAGAACAAAGTTGGCAGGCTCCATGTCAATATCCATTTGTGCATTATAGTGCAGTGTTCTGGGTGCTCACGAACAACATAATGAAAAAAATCCGTCTTCAGTAGCTCAGCGTTCCTTGGTCATTGACCTGTCCTGTGTTTTTCCCTGGATTTGTAAAGTGACTTAACCAGCAACTGTGCTTCCTCTTGCAAACAAACAAAAAAAAACAAACAAACAAAGAAACCCAGAAAACAACAAAACTTCTTTTCAAATATCGGTTCTATTATAGAGAATCGGCCCTTTAAATATCCTCTGTCCGGGATTTCCTTCAAAGAAACAGGTTGCAGTACCCTCGGCTGCTGTAACTTCCTTCGCTACTCGTGTTCGCTGCTCGTGCTGAAAGCAAAAGATCTATCAGGGAATCGGTACGCATAAATAGTTATGGTCATTACATAAGCAATGAATAAAACAGTAAGAAGGCAAACAAATGTTTATGCAGACACGTTAGCCATGGTCTGGGACGCCACGATAGCCTCTTCAACGTCGATAGCCCCTGTTCGGCTCGCTTCTCCTTTTGCACTTCTCCGTGTGCCTTACAATTCAGCTTAGTTGCCAGACCTTTAGATGCAGAAAGCCACGCTTCACCCCCCCCCCAATCATTTGATTGCGTCTTATTACGTTAAGAAATTCTCACAGGCTCGCTCCTGTAACCCAGTTGTAATTATCAGGAGAACTGAATAACATTTCTCCTTATTTTTACTCACTCCACACTCAATGCACACACACACACACACACAGAGAGAGAGAGAGAGAGAGAGAGAGAGAAATTTATTACTGCTGGCTCCTAAGAAACTATCAGGAGTGTTACCTCCGATATTACAGAATGGTGAGGATGGGAAACTGTTAGCAGCTAAGAGCAATCTTGGGAGAAGTTTCAAAGAAGACGGATGACTTACTTGCTCCTGTTGATAACAGCCGGACACACAAGTATTCCATTTCTGCTGTTTGCCTTTTGCAACATGAGAGGCTCTCTACTGTAGCTCCAAACTTTCCTAGCTCAGAGAAGACTGCGACGGGATCATAATTGTTTCCATAAATCAACATGCGCAAGAGGGTGTGTGCCTATACACTTGTGTGTGTGTGTGTGTGTGTGTGTGTGGTGTTTATGCGCGCAAGACAGAGAGCGAGTGAGCAAGAGAGGGAGAGTGAATGTGTTGTCTTTAGCTTATTTAGAATTAATTTTTTTTTTTTAAAAAAAAGGAAAACCTTTGCTGACCTCTCTTGGAAGCAATTAGGACATAACCAGTCAGCTGTCAGTGGAATACATGGACGAAAATTGAATGCTGTATGGAATCCTGTAGTCATCAGAGGGAGCTCTGATTGTGGTTGATGCCGTGGGTCTCAAATCTTCTAGAATCCTGAATCCTTTGATTCCTAAATACCAACGCTATCTTACTGTTCTTACTAAATAAATAGTAGTAAAGCACGATCCTTTCCTGAAGCAGATGCACGTTGTTCTCCAACCTGATGACTGCACTTCACTTTCTTTCATAGTGGCTGATTCAACTAATATTCTGACCTCCCCCCTCCTGTAAATTGTACACATTGGCTATTAAAGCCTAAAAGGCAAGACTTAAACTGGCCTATGTCGGTCAGCTTTGGCCACTGTCAGTCCTGGCCATCATTTGGTAAAGGAATAAAGTGAGAACAGCAAACGTATTAAAATGAGTCCCTGTGCTTCCTCGTTCAATATCTTGGCATTGCACGTCATAGTCCACCTTGGATTAAATTGTTTTGCAAAGTTTTCATGGCATGAAACTGGTGTCAACTTCAGATCAAATCAAAGTGGGTTCATTAGTTAGTTAGGATCATGACAGCTGGATTATAGTCAGAATTGGAGTCAGTGCAAACAAGACGGATTTCTCTGGATTATCTGTCATTTTTACCAATGATTTGTCATCTATCAATCAATGTCTACCACAGGTATCAATCAGTGGTGGGTTTCAAATTTTTTTACTACCGGTTCTGTGGGTGTGGCTTGGTGGGTATGGCATGGTATGGTGGGTGTGACTTGGTGGGCGTGGCAGGGGAAGGATACTGTAAAATCTCCATTCCCTCCCTAATCCAGGGAAAGGTTATTCCAAAATCCCCATTTCCTCCTGATCAGCTGGGACTTGGGAGGCAGAGAATAGTTGGGGGTGGGGCCAATCAGAGGTGGTATTTACCGGTTCTCTGAACTACTCAACATTTCCACTACCGGTTCTCCAGAACTGGTCAGAACCTGCTGAAACCCACCTCTGGTATCAATATAGGAATGAATACGTGATTGAGAATCAAAAGTAAATCTGGGCAGTTCTAAAAGTAGCACAGCAGCTAGTCATAGCAGTCAATAATGCCCGCTGATTTGGTTCCTGATTTCTTTGCAGCCGATATTGTTTGCTTATTAAATATTAAAATAAATTAATATTGAAAGATGCCCAACAATTTTAAAAAACATGTTTTGGGGGGTTTTATTAGGGAGTATGGAGAGGATGTTTTAAAATATTCTATGGTCTGAAATGTAAATACAGTTGTCCCCAGAATGAGTGCAAAGAAAAGCTGTTTATTTATTTAAACAAAAATACATGCACTATATCCCATGACATCTATGCCTCTCCAGCCAATGGATCAGGGTCTTCTGGAGTAGTACACTTCTTTTACGTATCATACCTTTCAAGATCTCAAAGCGATGGCAAATCTAGCCGGTCACGGCTGTCTTTAGAAGAGCACTTGACAGCTGTGACCGGGAGGATTTTTCATCAGGTTCGCCTGATTCGCCAGTTGCATCCCTTTCTGGATCGGGACTCCTTACGCACGGTCACTCATGCCCTCGTCACTTCCCGCCTGGACTACTGCAATGCTCTCTACATGGGGCTCCCCTTGAGGTGCACCCGGAGGCTCCAACTGGCACAGAGTGCGGCTGTGTGGGTGGTTATGGGAGCGACATGGCATTCCCATGTAACACCTCTCCTGCGTGAGCTGCACTGGCTCCCAGTGGTCTTCCATGTGCGCTTCAAGGTCTTGGTTACCACCTTTAGAGCGCTCCATGGCTTAGGACCTGGTTACTTACGGGACCGCCTGCTGCCACCAGTAGCCTCCCACCGGCCAGTACGCTCCCATAGAGAGGGGCTCCTCCGGGTGCCGTCGGCCAAACAATGTCGACTGGCAGCCCCCAGGGGGAGAGCCTTCTCTGTGGGGGCACCTATTATCTGGAATGAGCTCCCCCTGGAGATACAGAGGATCCCGGATCTACGCACCTTCCGCTGCGCTCTCAAGACCTTTTTATTCCATCAGGCTGGCCTGGCCTAACTGTTTCCCCTTTTCCCTTTTTAAAACGTAAATTTTAATTCGTTTTTAATTTATTGGGGTGTTTTAAATCTGTCTTCGGCCAAATTGTTTAATTCGATTTTATTCAGTTTTAAATTTTGTATTTATGTTTTTTATCCTGTGGCTGTTCACCGCCCTGAGTCCTTCGGGAGTAGGGCGATATACAAATCAAATAAAACTAGAAACCAGGAGACTGTGAGTTCTAGTTCTACCTTAGGCACGAATGCCCAGCCGGATGATCTTGGGCCAGTCACTGTCTCTCGGCCCAACCCACCTTACAAGGTGGTGGTTGTGGGGAAAATAGGACAAGGAAGGAGTCTTGTGTATGTTTGCTACGTTGCATTATCTATAGCCGTGATGGCGAACCTATGGCATGCATGGCACAGGTGGCACGTGGAGCCATATCTGTGGGCACGCAAGCGTTGCCCTAGCTCAGCTCCAGCATGCATGCGTACGCCAGCCAGATAATTTTCGGGCCTTTCGGGCCCACCAGAAATCAAGAAATGGGCTGTTTCTGGCCTCCAGGGGGGTGGGGAAGACCATTTTCGCCCTCCCCAGACTCCTAGAAAGCCTCTGGAGCCTGGGGAGGGCAAAAAACAGGCCTACCGGGCCCACCGGGCCAACACATGCCAAAAGTGGGGGTCGCACGAGGGGAGGGTCACGTGTGCATGCATGGGGGTGGGGCACATTGAATTATGGGTGTGGGCACGCGTGCGCTCGACCCCCTGCCCTCCTCCCCCGCTTTTGGCATGCAACGGCATCACTGATCTATAGAAATAATAACGGTGGGATAAAAATAAGTTACTAACTTCTTGTTGATTCTGAATAGTTGCCATTTATTATTAAAGCCTCAGCAATATTTGCGTGCTTTTTTTCCCCCTCCAGTTTTGGTTTTGTAGACATACCACCTGATACAAACGATTGAGTTCATAGGTATCCTGCCACCACTTTTACTTATTTCACAAGGGGCGCCTCACTCAAGAGCCTGAAAAGCAAGTGTCCGCAGCATTTCTCAGAAGATGGGCTTGATGATCACGAATTAACATTTTCTAATGTTTAAAAGTTTATCCATTCTTTTGGTCATCTCTGCATAGCTAATTTGTTTGTTCGCATATCCAGTATAAGTTACCCTACTTTACCTGATACTTTGCTTCAGTTCCAGAAATCTGGAAATACTCAAGCTTTTAGAAAATGTTTCTCATATTTTTCTTCAGCTCTGGAAAAGAAATCATTTCGGCAAATTGCGTAGTGAATTATTTCCAGGGCTTTTCTAGCTTAAGTTTTATTTTTTTAAAAAAAGCCTTGGCTAAAATAATCCTCGATTCATATTCTGCAGCACTGAATATGCAGTCCACTGTATTAGCGAGACATCCATCATTTCTAAGGTGTGTCCATTTGGGAGTGAGGAATTATACACACAGTGCAGAGAAAAATCATAAATGGGAAAATGATAAATACAACATCCATAGTTATGCCTTCCAAATTATATACTTTTTATATGCACCCATTATGTATGTGCCCATTATATACATTTTCTTGAGGAATGACTAAACGGGATCAGAAAAGTGAATATATTCTGCATACTAAATATATTTAATATATGTTAGTATATATTACTATATGCTTGGTATAAATATACTAAGTATGCATTAAATGTTTTAACTCTGTGACATGCCAGTGCTAAGGCAGAACCAATTCTTGTAATTCTTTAAGCATTCTGCTTACACAAAAAATAGCTGAAATGTTTTTAAAAAATAATTTTGGCGCTGGATTTTAATTGCATCTTGAATTAAACTTATCTGAATCTCACATGGATCAATGAAGCAGCAGATTTTAATGATGAATAAGTTCTATACCTTTGGGGGAAAACAAGACAAGGTACATTTTGTAATAATTACTGCCCATAAACTTAGAGGCGTCTGTGATTGTTTTTCATATTTTTTAGTGGTAGATACCTTGAAGTTTACAAATCTGAATGCTGCAATTCGTAACGTAAGTTTAAAGGAGGAACTATTTGTGCTTGGCTAATATTTAACTGTGTCAACTTGCACGTCATAGCAGCCAAAAATTATATATACTATGAGTTGATGTGGGCCAATGTTTCCGGTTTGTAATCTTTTTAAAAATAGTTTTAAAATATTTCCAGGTGATGTTGTTGGGAAAGGATCTGTTTGTTGGAGATATGCATTCTCACGTACTCCAAAGCGACTTTTTGCCTTCAAATCCAAATTACTGCACTATTAATATTTAATAGCGTGTTCAGATTGATCAGGGATTTTTCTGCTTTAAATTGCTAATTACCTCTTACAATTTTAGCAGGCTAGACATCAAAAGACTAATCGCTCTTAATGAATAATCCTGACAGTCCTTTTAAAATTTAAATTTCCTATTCCAGTTCCTCCCATTGGAAATTCTGGACAAAATGTTAATGATACGGCAGAAGAGTGACAGCTTTTGCCTAAACTCTTAAAAAAAAAAATTAAGAATCAATAGAAGGATTTTATATTGCCTGCAGAAACGGGAGGGAGCATCCCAAATTTGAAAATATCTTATCGGGTGGACAATTACTTCATTTGATTCTATTTGTATTAGGAGATCTCACAGAGTAGACTTCCATAAAGAGTATTTATTTTTAAATCGTTTTTTACTAGACTTCTATTTCACCATTATTTATGCATCATAACCTGCTAATTTTTAAATTGCATAACCTTTCAGTCCAAGTATTTTTTTTTCAAAATAAGCAAAACTTAATAAATTACCATAATATTGTTTCAGATTTTGAAAAAAAACAACATATCCAC